GCAAAGACCCTCCCCTTTTTGAAGCATATGACATAGTGCAACTACCGATTATTTTCATTTTCCACAAGTCTGTTGATTATTTGGTCATTTAATCAATTTTTCACTTATTAATATAATTATTAAAAATTGTGAAAACATGTTTACTTTCAGTTTCCTTGATGTTTTCATTCTTTTGTTAAATTGACACTCCAAACCCTATTATGTAACAAATAAACAGTTTAAAAAAAATTAGGGAAAACACTTAAATCACACATCAGACCTTGATGAATTAATTATTCAATGAGACTGAGAAGTGTGTAGGCCGTCCCTGGTAGGCTAGTGGTTAAGGCGCAGCCCTCTCGCCACTGCAGCCCGGATTTGAGTCAGGGTTGCGTCAGGAAGGGCATCCGGCGTAAAACACGTGCCAAATGTCAACATGCAAGTCGTCAGCTTGACGATTCGCTGTGGCGACCCCTAGGCGGGAAAAGCCGAAAGTGACTTTACTGATAAGTGTGTATGGCCCATAACTGCTTGTATGCACTCCCAGCAACATCTGGGCAAGCTCCTGATGAGTTGGTGGATGGTGTCCTGGGGGATCTCCTCCCAGACCTGGATCAGGGCATCAGTCAGCTCCTGGACAGTCTCTGGTGGTACTTGGTGGCATCAGATGCACCGATACATAATGCCTCATAGGTGCTCCATTGGATTTAGGTCAGGGGAACATGAGGGCCAGTCAATGGCATCAATGCCTTCGTCATCTAGGAACTGCCTAAACACTATGGCCACATGAGGCTGGGCATTGTCCTGCACCAGGAGAAAACCTGGGCCCACTGCACCAGTGTAAGGTCTGACAGTTGCTCTGAGGATTTCATCCCGGTACCTAACTGCAGTCATGGTAGCTTTGGTTGTGACGTGGAGGTCTGTGCAGCCAGATATGCCTCCCTAGACCATCATTGACCCACCACCAAACCGGTAATGGTCAATGATGTTACATGCAGCATAACATTCACCACGGTGTCTCCAGACTTTTTCACACCTGTCACATATGCTCAGTGTGAACCTGCTCTCATCTACAAAGAGAACAGGGTGCCACCGGGGGACCTGCCAATTCTGGTGTTCTCTGACTAATGCCAGTCAAGCTGCACGGTGTTGAGCTGCGAGCGCAGGTTGCACTAGAGGATGTCAGATCCTCATGGAGCCTGTTTCTGACAGTTGGGTCAGAAATATGCACACCAGTATCTGCTGGAGGTCATTTTGTAGTGCTCTCACTGTGCTCCTCCTGTTCCTCCTTGCACAAAGGAGCAGATACCGGTCCTGCTGCTGGGTCATTGCCCTTCTAAGACCCAGTCCAGCTCTCCTGGAGTAACAGCCAGTCTCCTGGTATCTCCTCCCTGCTCTTGAGACGGTTGGGAGACATAGCAAACGTTCTTTCGATTGCATGTATGGAAGAGCCATCTTGGACTACCTGTACAACCTGACTGGGCTGCAGGTCCTACCTCATGCTACCAATAGTGACAAGGACACTAACAAAACACAAAACTTGATAAGGATCAGTCAAGGAGAGAAACACATGCAAAACCATTCCCTTTTGGGGGGCTGGCTTGATTTCGCCTCTCCATTGCACCTTTTGTCACTTTCATCTGCACCAAAGCAGGTGAAACTGATTCACTTCTGCTTTCTAAGTGCACATATTGCTATTCCTAAAGTTTAACTGACTTGGTGTTATACTGATGATTAGGTGTTCCCTTAATTTTTTTGAGCATTTTAGTTACAGATGAATTAATTGATTAATCTGTCAATATTTCAGTTTTATAAAGAATCTTTTACAGATCCACTGCTAAAAATGGGGATCCAAAAGACAAGGACTTTAAATGACACATTGTGAAATGAACTATTAAAAAACAATGGTAATCAGCATTCTCCTATGTAATGGAGTGCCTTAACACTAAATTAGACAACCAAGAGACAACAGTTCCATAGACAAGATATTATATGTGCCAAAATTACAGCAAACAAACAAACCAAGGGATAACATTCCCAAAAATTATTTCAGCATATGGTAAATACAGGCAAATGACACCACCCAAGCATCCAACCACGCTTTTAGTCGTGTTTACAAAGACAAATCCCCTCTTCCTGCTGCGTTCACACAATCTGGTCTGTAGCTCATGCACTAAGATATGTACAGTATTTCATATATGTTCACATTCCATTAATAAGTCATTCTAGTTTTCTTCCCAACAAAAAGCCAGATCATGACAGCTTCACCTGGATGTTCGTTTTTAAAGCCAGTCTTAGGATGCAGGAAATGAGTCTGCTCTAACTCCTGAGACTCTCATACTGGTAGCTTCTCTGATGCTAATAAAGCTTCAGCATGCTGTAATTGGACAGAACAGCTGAAGATGTTAATATAGATGATTTCTCTGATGGCTTTGGATAATGTGCTCTGGATTCTGGACACACTCACTGACTCTCCTCCCACTTGTTGTCCATTATAGGTTTGGGCAGGATGTGTGTATTCATAAACAGACATGCACACATGGTGACTAGATGAGGCCTGTTGTGTTGCCCTAAAAATGTCAAGGTGCTAAAAATAGGAAATGTGGTAGAAGTGAAAAATGACCTAATATTTATCTGCTGTGAACATTTGATAGAATTATTAACTGCGGTTATAGCAACAATGTTTTAAAATGAAAGTTAAGCCTAGACATGAAATTTAATATTCTACACAAAATTCGCTGCCAGTCACCTTGATAGGTTTAGTGTGGTAGTCTTCACACACAAACTCACAGCCGCTGAGGCTTAAGCATGCTGTAATTGAGTAATTGATTACACTGGCAACATATTTCATTACTTCTACTCCTGGAAATTTGATGCAGTCTTTACCATCTGTGTCTTCTGGACACTTTCATTTCAGTTTTATTAGCTGATTCTCCAAACCATTTACTTTCAACATGCAAATGAATGTCACAACAAAGTTGTAGAAACAGGAAATGAGCCGTGTTTCCACATTGCTTTAGTATAATCATGATTTCTCAATGAGGCTGTGGATAAAAGTGGGTATTGTTGCAATATTTTTCTTACATTTAGCTGTGTTCTTTATTCATCTGTGTATTCATTCGCCCGTGTTTAACTATTTCAACCACATTCCTTACACACAAGCTAACTGCTGAGACCTATGTGATGACTCGCTAACTCATTCTCACGCACCGTCAGTCCTAACCAGAATCACTGTGCATGTGTGGATGAATCATTTACAGTAGCCGACATGCTCAGCAGACGCAATGCAAGAGCTGAGTAGTCGTTTTAAACACCCTTGTTGTTCTGTCACAAACACTCATGCCACTTACTAGAAACCATTTGCCTGTGATATAGTAGGCGCAGAAGAAACAAACAGGAAGTGGGCCATGTTGCTGCAATGCTTTCCCCAGTCATGATCAAAGTTCCTCAGTGAGTACACAGCTCCACATTGCACCTGTCTACAGTCTGCACTGCTTCATGTGTGAATTGTTTTGGAGGCATCACTTGCAAGGATTAAGTCATGTTTCAGGGCAGAAATGTACATATGCACAAATAAGAATATGCCTGCATGCTCACACACACACACAAGGGCCAGCCATTATCATGCCTGACATGCTAATCCCTCCCCCTGGGTGAATACATAAAGCATAAAGCCAGGCCAGGCAGACAGAAAGTCATGTGGTTGGTGATCACACTGTTGTCTCCACTGCTGATCCTCGGCTTCAGCGAATAAAAGGTGATCTTTTTTTTCCTGCTGGGGGGATAAAATCAGTAGGTGGACAGGCCACTTAAGTTGTTCAGTACTGCCTGCTGTGCAGTATTTTATTGTTGCACTGTATCTTTCCTAAGCAGTTTGAAAACTGGTGTAAAGATCCAGCTGTGAGGCTTCACGTGAAGCGTTTGCATCTGTCATGTGTTGTTAGACATACAGTGATGACAAGAGACTTGTCACACTAGAGCAGGGGTGCCCAAAGTGGGGCCCGCGGAACATTTGTTTTGGCCCGCGGGGACATTTCTTGGCCCCCCACAATTTATTATGCCACCCCAGTTGTCAGGTCAAGCAGCTCCCAGCTCAGCTCGCAA